CAAAAACACTCAGGGATATATTTTAAACAACCAAAGGGCACATTCTACAAGCCTGCCTCCTGGCTGCCAGTACACAGTCTTTCTCTTTCCATGAGTCTAGAGTCCTCAGCTGCTCTATCTCTCCATGTCATCATCTCTGCCTCCATCTCTGGTGTCGCTGCTTCTCTGGATAGGGTCCCACATTCTGATCCTGCTCCTTTCCCTTGATGGTCCTAAGGTCCTCTGTTCCTGGACTGTAAGATTAACTACTCCCCATTTTTGTTACAAAACTTCTATCTTAACAGTTGTGACAATCACAATTAGTCTTGATAACAATAACTCACTATTGAATCATAAGAATTGTACCCCTATCTCCTTTTACCAGACCTGTCTAAACAAGAAGAAAACTATTCAGTGGGGATTCTACCTTCCCCCACCCACTCTGAAACGAAACTCCCTCTTGAAAACTTGTAAGCTGGTCACTTTGTACCTTTATAGCCCCTCATTTTAGGTAGCCAATGTCTAAGTTGCCCATCCCTATCAACCCTGTATACAGAGGGGATAGGATTGATACTTGATGTGAAGACTCCTTCCCTCTTAGTTGTATACCTCTTCCCTTTTATGAAAGACCTATATTAGTACCTGTTTTCACTAACCAAAAGAAATCCAAAGATTTTTGCTCTTATAAGAAAAGGGGAAAAGTGAAAATAGCGTTCAGCAGCTGCTTAATTCCCACTCATTTATTAAATGTTATGATTTTAGCAATGCTTACCCTAAAGAGTAAGAGTGGTATCTCCAAGCTCCTTTCCCCAGAAGTACACTCAGTATCTCAGTATCAAGTGCCATAGCTTTAAACTGTGTCTTTAACACTATGTCGTTGTTAAGTGCTGTGGAGTCAACTCTGACTCACAGTGACCCTGTCTAGGATTTCCTAGAAGCAGCTGGTGGGTTTGAACTGCTGATCTTGCAGTTAGCAGTCCAGTGCTTATCATACAGTATCACACCAGGACTCCTATATGTTAGTGCTATTTTAATTTTTTTTGTGAGTGTGTTATTTTTAAATTTTTTTTGTACATTATTTTGTAGGTTATTTTTGTACATTGTTTTTTTGGTCTGGGATCGCTAAAAAACTTTTCCTATATAAATTAGAGGTAACTGCTTTTTCACTTTATGCCATTTCAGCTTAGAAAGGTTTTATAGGAATGTTCTACTTTCAGCTAGCAGGAGAAACCAGATCTAACAACAATGTTAAAAACAAAAACTCATGGGCTACCTCAGAGAATATCAGGAAACTAATTTGCTATTTTAGTAACTGGTAAATAAAGTCAAGCAATTTTCTGTATTTCTATATTAATTGTATCACTGGACATTCAAATAGTAGATGAGATGAAATTGCTCTTTACAGAAGAATTCCGACTAATAAATGAAAAAGGAATGACAGAGATAAAATGACACAATTTGGTAATTCCTAGGAGTCTGTGCTTTATTGACTATGCAAAGGCCTTTGATTGTGTGGATCATGACAAGCTATGGACAACATTGTGGAGTATGAGTATTCCAGAACACTTAATTGTGCTCACAAGGAATCTGTACATGGACCAAGAGGCAGCTGTTCAAACAGAACAAGGGAAACTGAATGGTTTAAAATTAAGAAGGGTATGCAACAGGGTTGTATTCTTTCACCATATTTATTCAACCTGTATGCTGAGCAAGTAATCCGAGAAGCTGGGCTATATGAAGAAAAATGTGGCATCAGGATTGTAGGAAGACTCATTAGCAACCTGTGTTATGCAGATGATACAACCTTGCTTGCTGAAAGTGAAGAAGA